AGACAGTCTTGATTTTATCAAGTGCTCACGGCACACGTCAGAGATAGAAGATGTTTAAAATAAATCCCCAAGTAAAGTTTAATGTCCTAGCACTCGCATGAAAACCCCGCCACCTCCCATGCAAACCACTGGTGTTTTAGCGCTGGAGTGTGGGACATACATTAGTCGCTTCTGCCCTCCAACGTTGCTCAAACATCTGACTGTCGCCCCGGAGCTCCCCGGGCAGGTGGGAACCCTGTAGGAAGCTTTATTCATCATATTCAAGCCCATGTCAAATGGCACAGGTTTGCCCCGATACAGTTCCAGACCTTTACGTATCAGCTCCTTCAGCAAAGTATACCACCGGCTGGCAAAGTTCTCTGCTAAGTTTCCGTCCGAGGCTCGAACTCCGGGACTTCCAGGGCTGTCGCTGCCTTCTGGTGGCGTTGATGACGTGAGGTGCACAGTTCCCTGCCTACAAATGCACTCCCTGTCTTCAAACATCTGGGCGACAACGTCGTTTTGTATACCATGTCTCTGACTGAATGTGTCGCTCATCTGATTCAGCTCCTCTTTGCTAGGACATTGCAACAGACCTTGGTCGATGAGATGCCCCAGTATAGCCCTCTTGTACTCCGAATGGGACGGTTCAGAAGAAAATAATGTAGTCATAGTTTTATGCAAAACCGCCACATTAACAATATAAAATAACACTTTTTTCTCCCCAATTCCTAAATTGGACTCCGCCTCACACACTACCTCCAGGGGAACTTGGTGGGGGATAAAGGAAGCTTCCGCTTGCTCGTGTACCAGCATTTCCCCGAAGGTGACTCTCTTCGCTACGCCATGGGGGTGAGACACACAAAATGCAATGTTCTCTGGGAACGGCCCGTTATAGCTTTCAAACAACACAAGCTTTTTCATGACAACCGGCAGAAGTTCACTATTCATCAAACGAATAATGAACTCTGACCTATCTTCCTCCTCTGAATTATCAGTTATCCGGATTCCTTTGGCTTCAATAACCGTAGATCTGTCTGAATCGTCATCGAAAAAAAGTTTCACTTTGGTCCATTTGACCTCCTCTTGGTTGTAGACAACGTGAGCAGCGGTTTTCACAATAAGCACTGTTTCTTCATCTTCTCCAAAGTGAAAACTGCTTGTTGAGCTGGCTGGCTGTGTCGACGCAGCTGCTTGGTCTCTCTTTGTCTTATACACCGTCAAATACCCGCTTCCAACACGTGGTGCACGTTTCCCTTTTAAGGTCGACCAGCCAAAATGGTCTGGGCGATGTTCGGAGGTGTAGTATACGGTCAAAAGCACGGTGCGTGAAGCAAGATTGAGGATGTAGGAGAGGAAATCTGGGTGTCTGCAGGATTTAGGAAGATGTTGAAGACCGAGGCGAGGTAGAGGAATGAAATCTGTGTGACCCTCGTTCTTTTTGCAATTTTCGAACATCTCATCCTCATAGCCCTCCAGGGCCACGCCCATTTCACACGACGATCCTGTGTGGATGAAGATTGTCAAGTCAAGACTAGATGAACGGACAGACAGGTAGAAACAGATAGATAGATAGATAGATAGATAGATAGATAGATAGATAGATAGATAGATAGATAGATAGATAGATAGATAGATAGATAGATAGATAG